AGTAATAGTAATAGTAATAGTAATAGTAATAATAATGATAATAAGAAAATAATAATAAGAAGAAGAATAAGGATAATAATAGTAGTAAACATAATCATCATAGGAATAACAAAAATAATAGAAATAAAAATACTAATAATAATAAGACTGATAGTAATAGTAATAATAAGACTAATCGTAATAGGAATAATAAGACTAATAGTAATAGTAATAATAAGACTAATAGTAATATCAATAATAATAGTGCAATTAAATCATGATTTAATGGTGCAAACAGGTACCAATTAGCACAAGTCTTTGCTGCACCATTAACTCATGATTTAATTGTCTTCCAGTCAAACGCAAAGAAACACAATTAAATCACGATTTAATTGTTATGTCGAGGTAGGTCAAAACCCAACCCAGAAGCTACAATTAAATCAGGATTTAATTCTTTTTTACTTCTGGATTCATGGGTTTTCAGAAGTGCACATACAAGCTCAACGTTTGAGCCATGTAGACTAGTGAAGACAAGGGGCAGTGCCGGAAACTGCCGATGCAGCATCAACTCCCAAAACTCAACACCGGTGTGAGCTGACATCAGACCGTACCCAGCATGGCCCAGCCTTGTTGGCCTTGTTGTCTCCAATGATGTTATTGTTGTTGCCCTGAGGGACATGTTCAGAGCAGTCGCAGAGAACTTGGCTACTTGCACTAGCTGCGACAGTGGATTGCTGTCGCACCTCCCCCTCAACCCTCAACCCTAAACCCTAAACCCTAAACCCTAAACCCTAAACCCTAAACCCTACACACACACACACCCTAAACCCTAAACCCTTAACCCTTAACCCTTTAAACCCTAAACCCTAAACCCTAAGTACAGTGTTCCAAGCGAGGACTGCAAGAATCCCGCGGCACTTGAGGGGTTCCATCGAAACTCAGGTGGAGAACGTCCTGAAACCACGTCGATCCTGACTCCTACGCTTAAGTAAAAGCGCAGGCTTGTGCTTCTGGACAGTTTTCGCACTTTGGTTTGTGTATTAGAGTGTGAATTTCTTTGAGATTGGCATCTCCAACTCAGCAAAAAGCCTGTTGGCTGTACCACGACTTTCGGTGTCAAGCCTTGTAACACTTGTGAGGCTTTTGCGAGTACCGCAAGGACCATACGATAGGCTGTTAAACGGTGAGACAGGCAAGCACACATGCCGTCGTGCTTGCTATCGTGTCTGGTGAGCGTGCTACCGCTTTACAACCGAAAGTTGCAGGACTGCTAATGGCTTGAACGCCCAACAAAATACAACCGAATGTCACGCGGATCTCTGATGGCCTGATCGGTGGCAAGTGCGCTGCGATTGCCTGCGGTTGTGAGCGCATGTCCTTAGGTTTTCATTTTGCTCTACTATGGGAGTAACTTAAGGATAAAAAGAGTACCCTTTTTGGTTTTAAGGGGATTACAAGGGGCCCCCAACCCCAAAAAAGGAATAAGCGCCTACTCCGGGTCCTAATCTAGTGGGATTTGAAGGGACTCTTGGCTGACTTTTGAACCCAAAACCCTAAATCCTAAACCCTAACTTTTAGGCTCCTTATTGTAGGTTCCTGAAAACCCAAAAAGTTAAAGTCCTAAAACCCCAAACCCCAAACCCCAAACCCCAAACCCCAAACCCTAAACCCTAAACCCTAAACCCTAAGAGCAAGCCAGAAGAAGGCCAAGGACTGTCTGCCCAACCTGACTGGCCCATCTCCTTTGCGCATTCCTTGTGTCTTCCGGCCTCCAAAGCCAGCCACCGGGTCTTCTTATCAAGGTTTAGGGTCTAGGGTTTAGGGCTTAGGGTTTAGGGCTTAGGGTGTAGGGGTTTAGGGTTTAGGGTTTATAGGGTTTAGGGTTTAGGTCTTTGTGAGAATTCAGAACATTTTCACAGAAAGCACTTGTCCGGCCCCTCGCTCGTCCAGAATCAGCAGCCTCAGCATGCTCACGCAGCGGGCCGATCTCGTTCTCACTGGCCTGGGCTTCTCTAGGCTTGGGAACCGAATAGCACAGAGATTAGGGTTTAGGGTTTTAGGGTTTAGGGTTTTAGGGTTTAGGGTTTTAGGGTTTAGGGTTTTAGGGTTTAGGGTTTAGGAAAAAACAGAAGCTCCAAACAATTGTGTCGAAGCCCTGGTGTTTCACTGCGCTTGAGCCTTTTCTGTTCCGGGCTGTGTTGGCGCTTTGGCAAGCTAGGGACTTGACCATGCAGCAGTTCCCCCACACACCACCACAAGCACATTCCTTTGTCCCACTTGTTTAGGGTTTAGGGTTTAGGGTTGAGGGTTTAGGGTTTAGGGTTTAGGGTTGAGGGTTGAGGGTTTAGGGTTTAGGGTTTGGGGTTTGGGGTTTAGGGACCAAATCGTCTCATCCCCTACCCTCTCCCTCCCCCCGGGATCTTGTATCGACTTGGCATCCTGCTGCTCCTACAGGCTTCGTCGCGCAGTTCGAAGGTTGTGAGAGCTGAACGTCAAAGGTCACGTCGCAGGGCCTTCAAGGCAGCAACTCACAGACGTGCTCCGCCCTGGAGCAGTGATCGCAAAAAGAATTCACCATCGTCCACTAGACTGGGGAAGTGACAGTTTTCCAGTCGCCCCTCCTGGATGAGAAACCTTCAGCGTTAGAACAGTGGGGATAAGAGGGCTCGCAAGAAGCAAGATGTAGAGTCCAAAAAGCACTGGCACTCATAGCCGGCACTCACATACAACATAATCTAAAGCGTCTCAGGCTTAGGGTTTAGGGTTTTAGGGTTTAGGGTTTAGGGTTTAGGGTTTAGAGTCTAGGGTTTAGGGTTTAGGGTTGCAAGGGACCGGGCTGCTTCAACAGGATAAGCGGCGACAGAACAACATTTCTCAGGGTCGGGCCACTTCTGATGCGTTGTCGTCCTACCGTGCGCAGGGTTGTTTCGCAGATGGTCCAAGCATTCACTTGGGGGCGACACAATCTCCTCGTGACTCCTCTTGCTGATCAGCAGCATGGGCCCATGCCCATCGCGGGAAGCACGTGAGTCCAAGAAAACACGGACCATCGACGCATGGTATCTGTGCAGCGATGTACAGTAAAACCTAAACCCTAAACCCCAAACCCTCAACCCTAAATACCCTAAACCTGAGAATTCTTGAGCCATAGGGCTGTTGAATCCCTTCGGTCCTTGCGCTCGGCTGCGCTTTCGGCCGTCCTGCTGCTTGCACTGGTGCCCGTGCCCGTACCTGGCACCATTCTTGTCAAAGAGCCAGGCAGCAAAGGCACCACTCTCCTAGGACCGCTCCCGGCCTTCTCGGACCTGCTCTGCTTCATCAACTCTGACCTCGGGGTTTAGGGTTCAGGGTTCAGGGTTCAGGGTTTAGGGTTTAGGGTCTAGGGGAAGCACATGCAACCCTTAAACTTGAAGCGCAGAACCCCAATGCTTCTGAAGAGAAACCGTCCATGATGTTGAGAAGGCGGTGCCTCACTGTGTGTTTTTCCTTGATGTTCCTATGTTCCTTGCTTGTTTCAAGGCCTTCTTTGGGTTGGAATGCTATCAAGTGCAAACCGCACGCGCTGCGCTCACATGCACGATTCCTGTCGGATGAGGCTCCGACTCCTCTTGCAGGCCCGCTCTCCCACGTCTTCTTGCTCTTGCGGGGCATCTTGGGGGCCTCAGGAGCAGATGGGGGGCAGAAGCTCTCACCACGCCGTGCTCAAGACACCGTGCTTGGTAAAATGAATAAGCCCCGGCAGAAGGAGACGACTTTCTTCAACTGACCTTCCTGCGTGGACAAACCTTTGCTCGCATCAAGCTCACAATGTCTTGCAGCTTGACGCAGAGGGCCAGAAGCGGCCAGAAAGCATGGTCAAAACGAACAGGGTTTAGGGTTTAGGGCTTAGGGTTTATAATTTCGGGTTTAGGGTTTAGGGTTTAGGGCTGTGTTCTTCTTCCGGTTACTTTACCAGATCCTTGCGTCTTCGGCATCCTTATTCAAACCCTCGGAAACTGGGTAGAGATTAACCCTAAACCCTAAATCCTAAACCCTAAACCCTAAACCCTGTAGGATCTAGGGCTTTCTGCTTCAGGAAGTTCTTCGAGCTGAGGGCCCCGCAGATTCTGCTGCGGAGTCACGAAACGAGGGCCCTCAGATCGCGGGGAGTTTTTGATGGGTGCGGAGGGGTTCAGGGTTCAGGGTTCAGGGTTGAGGGTTGAGGGTTGAGGGTTGAGGGTTGAGGGTTTAGGGTTTAGGGTTTAGGGTTTAGGGCATCCTGCGGCGCAGCGGCCCAACAATGCAGCCCTCGCGCGGCCTAAGCTCACAAATGGTCCCCGAGTTCCCCGAACCACTCGGCATGCAGGCAGTCTGCGACTCTGGTGTCTGAGCTCCGGTCACTCGCAACTTTGGCAGAATGCGAACTAAACATCTACCCTCAAGCAGCCGAAGCAGCTGCAAAAAATGAAAGGCTTCTCACGACTGCACAAATCTAAACCCCAGCTTCGACTTCCCGCCCAGTAGAACTGCAGAGGCTACCTCACTGAAGGCCTATGAGCCACGCACCACCGATCAAAGGAAGCGTGGGGCTGGTTTAGGGTTTTTGGGTTTTGGGCTTATAAGAGTTTTAAAGAGCACCCCACACAAAGGATCTCTAAAACCCAAAGAGATGCGAACCGGGAAAGCTGAAGGAGCCGAGGCAACTACAACAGCAGAAACCCCAAAAGCCCTCAACTCCCTATACCCCCCACCGCACGACTTCTCTTCGATTTCGGGAGCGAGGCCGTCAGTTCAGATCTGAAGAACCAGCTCGCTACGCCCTCGCCAAAGCTCCACTTTGGGGTGTTCGTCTCATGGGTTTCCTTACAGCCCTCTTTTTCTCGCCCTCCCTAGGTTCCCCCCGGTAAATAATCCTCTGCATCGGCTTCATTCTCCCTAAAGAGGCCTTAGCTATGGGGGGAACCTAAGGGGGGGGTGATAGAGGGGGGTAGTAGGGGAGCCCAGGATCATCTGGGGGCTCCTCTGGAGCCATCTCCTAAAGATCACAGCAAGGAAGTGTGTTCTGAAACTCTCGGCAAGGTGTTTACCTGACGCCGGACACACCTGCAGGATGCTGCGCTTCTCTCCTGGCCTTCCTGCCTCAGGAAGAGCAGCCAGAAGTGCAGGGTGAGCAAAGCAAGAAAGAGGAGGAATCCGGTGAGCCAAGCTTGGGAGTAGTCCAAGGCCAGGCAGTAGAGGCAGCCCCAGATGACGCCGCTGCAGGCGTTGGAGTAGGCATAGGCCAGGGGGCAGCACAGCATGGCCACCAAGCTTTGTAGGGGTCCAGCGCCGATCTTCATCGCCAACCTAGGCAACTTCTTAGGTAATTCTGTGTTAATTCCCCAAGCTGCTGGTCAAAGGAGAACCCACTCAAAGAAAAAGCAAAACAACAACAGGAGGGATGCCACTGAAAGAAGGGCCAGGAAGCTGGATCATATGCAGCAGAGCTGGGTAGGAGATTGGTATCGAGAGCATCAAGCAGAGAATCCAAGCCTGAGTTCTGACTGCTTGGAACCCGAGCGGGGCATTCACGGAATTTTGATGGATTTCAGGGATGAATGTGGAGCGTAGTCATTTTCTAAGAGTTCCTTAGCTTGTAGGAGCTGTTTTTGTCTGGATTGCTTTTCAGGGTGGTTTGAAAGGTGCTAAGCTTTTGCTAGGGCCTTTTAAGGCTTTTTTGTCAGGTTTTTTGGGAGGTTGGCTTGGGTCAGCGGCGAGAAACCAGGAGCTGCGTGGCCATGTAGCCTTCCACCGAGGCAAAGCCCGCTTCGGCCGCCGAGGTTTGGCAGGTGCCGTTGTCACAGCCGAGGATGTTCACTGCAGAGTAGAGGACCTCTGAAACTTTTTCCCTTTTCCCTATACTCCCCTTAGAACCTTAAGACCTTGGGTTTTGTATATAAATTATGTACGAATAAAATTGTGTCCTGAGGGGGCTATAGTTCCCATGCCCCACCCCCCGCAGCGCTCTGCCCACGCATCGCCATGCCCCTTAGAACCCCTTCTTGCAGGGCTGTTCTTGTGGCGAAAAATCGGCAGACCCTGTAAATAGACCCAGATATTCTATCCCCACAGGGCATCACATTTTCGAACAGACCCGATGTCGAAGGCTTTGCTTTATTTTCCCAACATGATTCGAAGGCACCCGAGTTTGGCAAGGCCCTAAACCCTAAACCCTAAGCCCGAAACAAGAAACACAGCCTTTCCCAGCGAAAGAGTCGGGCGTCGTCTGGCAACAGAGCAGCCATGCAGATGTGCCAGGGGATATAAAGCTCGCTTCCCATCCTTACTTTTCTGCAACACCAAGGCCTCACGATAGAATTCTCAAAAGTACTCCAAAGGCCTAAAGGACTTAGAAGAAGCCAACGGATACCCAAACCTGAGCCCCAAACCCCTAAATACTCCTAAACCCCAAATATCCCTGAACCCTAAACCCGAAACATCCCTAAACCCTAAGTAAACTCAAGGCTTAGGCCGCACCGCCTACAGTGAGAAGGCGGCGCTTAAGCCCCTCCCCAGTCGTTCGCCCGCCTTCACAGCTCGCAGTTCGGCAGCACCCATGTAGGGTCCGGCACCGGAACCCGTTTTTTCCTCGGGACCAGTCCTGGTCCCCTTGAAAAAGTGATTACCCTAAACCTTGTACGTCGATTTTGGGGCTACCCCCAGGCCCCTGGCCAGGGGGATCCCCGGAGCCCTCGCCGCAGCGTGCCAAAAACCAAAAACCCTGAAACTTCCCGAAATCTCGTGAAAGCTCTGGCACCCCCTTCCCATGCATACCCTGAAACCGACCACAACTTTCTGGGACCCCCTGGACTGGAACCTACCCCTTGGCTGCAAGCGAATTCTGGTGACGGAAGACGTTTTCTTGCAAGTAAGCGATTGTCCCGAGTTTAGGCCTCAACCCTGAAAGGAATAGTTCGGGTGCCGCCGGACGGCGTGGGGTGGGAGAAAGGTTGTTTCAAATGGCCTGACACAATCGGGCCAGAGCTGCTCTTCGCACCTGACGAGGCTTTCGAGCCTCTGCTGCATCCTAACCTTCACAGCATCTACGCCCTTTTACAGCAACCCTAAACCTTAAACCCTAAACCCCAAACCCTAAACCCTAAACCCTAAACCCTCAACCACAAACCCTTCCAACTCGGGACTTAGAAGAGCCAAGGGTCTGCTCTAACACCGCGTCGTGAAGTGGACCCCTTCCCACAAGGCAACTCTGCCAAGCTTGGGGTTCAGGGCTTAGGGACATCTAGGGTTTAGGGTTTAGGGTTTAGGGTTTAAGGTGTAGGGTGTAGGGTTTAGGAATTAGGGATATTTAGGGCTTAGGGTTCAGGATTTAGGACTCAGGATTCAGGGCAGAAGCACAGAGCTTGCTCAGCCTTACGTAGGCATTGAACCGATGCAGTGCGTCTCCGTGTACCCCTCTCGGCACGACGGCGTGGGTCACCGGCTCCCACTCCTCGGCCCTGTGAGCCTAGGTTTAGGGAATGTTTTCGGCCTGGCTTCGGGTTCAGGGTTCAGGGTTCAGGGTTTAGGGTTTAGGTTTAGGGTTTAGGGCTTAGGTTTAGGGTTTAGGGTTTAGGGTTGAGGATTTAGGGTTGAGGATTTGGGGTTTGGGGTTTAGGGTTTAGGGAATTAGGGCTTAGAACCTATTTCTTGAGCGAGGAGCTGAGCTGTCCGGCTCAGGCTCATCCACTTGGATCGTCGCTGTCTCCGCCTCTGCCTCCTCGGTTAGGGTTTAGGGTTTTGGGTTCAGGGTTTAGGCCCTTAGGCGTTTAGGGTTAACCCTGCAAGGTGGACGTCATAGCCCCACGCTTGCCACAAACCCTGCAACCCTTAGCCCTGAACCCTAAACCCCCAAGTATACGACCCAACGTAGACATCGTGCGGAACCCCACACCTCAGCACGAATGTCAACGCCGGCTTTTTTCATGCAACTTGCCTCAAGGGCACTTTCTCATTGAGTGTGCAGGGGGAAGCAAGGGAAGATTCGCTGTTAGGTGGCGAACCAGCAAAATGGGTTCCAGTTGGTCAAAGGGCCATGTTGCTTGTGGTCCAGAGCCCACGAAGAGAAAGCACCCTGGAATTTCGAATGTTTTGAAGAATTGAGAGCTGAGACAGGGAAAAACTAGGGCATTTATCAGCCGATGGAACAAACATCTCTGTAGATTTTCCTGCTTTGGCGGCCAAAATAAAGGCAAACCACCATACCAGCACGCCGCCGAAAACCAGCCAAAAAGAGCGGCAGCTCTTCATCAAAACAAGGGGTTCCAAGGCACACCCTAAGCCCTAAACGCGATCCCAAACCCCAAACCCCAAACCCCAAACCCCAAACCCCAAACCCCAAACCCCAAACCCCAAACCCCAAACCCCAAACCCCAAACCCCAAACCCCAAACCCTAAACCCTAAACCCCCCCCCCCCCAAACTGTGGGATTCCTATTTACAAGGACCCTGAAAGGGAAACACCAAAAAAAAGACAGTTGGCTTTGCTGACAAAACCGGCCCTGAGACCAGCCCAGACGCCATGCCGTGGGTGCAAAAGAGCTCTTGCACCTGTTGCTCAAGTAAGAGCCGGTCTTCCGCCAGAGAGCCTCCGATTCGCCAGCATACTTGGAGGGTCAGGGTACATTATTAACCAACTCTCACTGTACTTATGACCCACTTATAAGCCCCTTAAGTGCCCCAAGATGGTCCCAAGTACAGTTACAAGTACAGACATATTTGGTTAATAAGTACCATGAACCTCCAAGTAAGTGTCCGACAAAAAAGGAGCCGCCAGGGCCGCGGGCTGAAGCTAAAGGGGTTTTGAGACGGTTTTAGGGGTCGCATTCTTGTGCCCTAAACCACCAAACCCCTAACCCAATATAGCCTAAACCCCCTAAACCCTTTCGAGACTTGCAGCTCCTTGTAGTGTTCTGTGGTGGTGCTCCTTTTTCTTGCTGTTCGCTGCTCTTGTTATGGCTCTTCTTGTTCTTCTCGTTCCTGTTGCTCTTCCTAGTACTCCTCGTCTGCCTTTGAACTGCGGAGCTTCAGGGTTGAGTTCAGGATTGATAGGGATGCACGATGCAAAAAAGCGATGACTTTCCCTGCTTGCGCCCAGGGGCATTTTGCGTCCTTGATATCGAACGTCGCGATCTGGTGCAGCATCACTTGGTGTTGCTGCAGCTTTCTCTGACATGAGAGGAAGCCTTAACTGAACTTGGAACCCTAGCAAAAATCACATGATTTGCTGTTTCTTAGGAATTCTAGTACTTTCCCAAAAATTGAACTATTTCCAAGTACGCCTAAGAAGCAGGGAATCATGATTGGCAGGTAGATGATCGCCGAGGAAGCCAACCACAAGGAGCAGTAGATCCAGAACGTGACAGTTCCTGAACTGGCTTTGGAGACCCCCGGGCATAGGGGATGGATTACAGGGGACCCTTGGGGAAAAAGACGCTCTCAAGTCTTTTGAGGGCCCCTGCTATCCTACCTAGGGGGGTTAGGAACACACCACAACACAGCAAGAGCACGTCTTCAAGAGCGGGCAAGGATCTGGGATCTGCAAAAAACCCCTCGAAGAACTCTTTGAGCTCCCCGGTGTTCGAGGTGGTTGGGCTCACAAGCACGCAAAGCTCCGCGACGATGGCGCTGAGGAGCTCCAGGGTCCTAGGGAGTTGGCTCCAAAGGCATTACTCCATTCTACCGTTTTCTTCCATGCAATTTGAATTCTGTTCTGTTGTATTCTCTTGTATGATATGCCATTGTACTGGTATGGTGAGCTCAAATAATTTCGGGAGCCTTACAAAACACAAGGCGTGGCATTGTCATCTCACTTTTGGGGCTTCTGCTTTTGATTGAAGGGTCTGCTAAAGCTTCAGCTCAAAGTCCCTTCAAGGGCTTGGGGGGGTCTCGGCTTTGTGGTTTAGGGTACCCTAGACCCTAAACCCTGATTGGGCCAACCAGGGCTTCTACCAAAAAAAAAAACGCTTTGCTATTTAGCAGCCCCAGAAACAGGCAGGTGACCAGCCATGGCGCAAGCCACAAGGGTTGAAAATCCAGTTCTTATTTCGGAAAAGCTGCAAGAGAGATGCATGACAGTGTCAGAGGTACTAGGTCAACTAACCCAAGAGAAGAATTCATACTTAACACGAACTTACTGGGGAACTTCATCGAATCAAGAAATCAGGCCACAAAATCGCCTTAAAATGTTGGGAACTGGAGAACTAAGAGGCTGTGCTGGTCCCCGTGCTTGGCAAAGGTTGCCAACTCCACGTGGCACCACAGACGCTCCTTACTGGCCAAGCAACCCTTTTTTCGTTTCCCTGTTGAACCAAAAAACCAGAGGAACTCCCCCCCCCCCCCAAAAAAAAAAAGAAAACAAGTATACATGAAAAAAATAAATATACACAGATGAAGAGTGAAAAATTTGGCTGTAACAAGGCCTACAGCCCCGGAGGCCCAGATTCAAAGTACATCTCGTCCCACAGCACCAGCATGCGAGAGGACCTGGCCACGAAGATAAGGTATACTAGAATCCCCCATAACTAACCATAAACCCTAAACCCTAAACCCTAAACCCACCTGGCCACGAAGATTGGGAGGGCCGCAAGCTGCCGCTGCTTTAGCTCCTCGTCGGTTTGGTGGATGCCTTGGCTTAGGGTTTAGGGTTTAGGGTTTAGGGTTTAGGGCTTAGGGCTTAGGGCTTACGGCTTACGGCTTAGGGCTTTGGGTTTAGGGTTTAGGGTTTAGGGTTTAGGGTTTAGGGTTTAGGGTTTAGGGTTTAGGGTTTAGGGTTTAGGGTTTAGGGTTTAGGGTTTAGGGTTTAGGGTTTAGGGCTTCGGGCTTAGGGTTTAGGGCTCAGGGTCCGTGTACACTGGGCAAAGCAAAAGCATCGTTCCCGACATCTCACACCGGGAAGCAGAGCTTGTCGAGCCATAGCGATGTGGAGCTCCTCAAGTACTGAAAATGGGCGCCAACCAAAATTTTGAACACGCACCGAGCCCGAATCCTAATTCCCATATCCGTAAAACCCCCACAGAAGTTGCAAATGAAAACATGAAGTCGGACTAAACTCACCCAACCCCAAACCCAGCGAGTCCCCCCCAAACAGCAAGACGCAGAAAAGATGCCTAGGAGGAGAATGTCAGTGTCATCTTAAACAAAACAGCACTTATAGGCAGCTTGACAAGTTGAAAAGCAAGGGTACCACTGGGCCGCCTAGGCTCACTTCGCATGGCGTGAAATGGCCACGAAGGAGCACCTGTCACAAGCAACGCCAAGTCACGGTCTCTACAACTCTTGAACTTTCAGGCCCCCCGAAGCTCGAGGTTAGGGCGTTTAATGGGCTCGCGTTCGAAGGCTTAGGACGTATAACCCGAAACCCTAAACCCTAAACCCTAAACCCTTATAGGGTTTAGAGATCGGGGGCTTTTGAGCTCAAATCCGCTCCGGAATGAATTGCAGAACGGCGCACCCAGAAGAAGATGGCCGCTGGAAGGCAGACAAGGACCCTTGGAGCGAACTTTAGGATTCAGGGGTTTAGGGTTTAGGGTTTAGGGTTTAGGGTTTAGGGTTTAGGGTTTAGGGTTTAGGGTTTAGGGTTTAGGGCCAGGGATTAGCGGGTCCCCTTTAAGGGCGCTCTTTCATGATTGGGAGGGAAAGGTGGAGATTGGCCAAGAAAGAAGCGCCCTAAGTCCTAAGCCATAAGCTACATAAGTCGAAATGCCTCAGACCTGAACCACAGGGCTTAGGGGTCATGAATCGAACAATAGTCGCCCTCGTCTTGGCGGGTTCTCATGTTTGTATCTTCGTGGCAGAGCGTAGGATTGCCATCACTTGCGTATTCCTTGCTTTAGTCGTCTGAGCTTTGTAATGGCGGCCTTCCGTATTTCACTCACTTGCATAATTTCTGTCTATGTCGGCTTTCGCATTTCTGGCCACGTAGACGTACTGCGCTTGCGTTACCTTTGTCGCGAAACAGTCGGAGCCTCCAAAGCCGGGGGGGGGGGCGCGGGCTGCTGCGACGCATACCTGCATCCCCCCTTCGGGCTGGAATAACGGTCTGAAGCGGAATAGTCGACTATCCCCCGCTTGGACAGGAATTTTAGACTGCGGGCCGAAATTCCCTTTTGAAGTATTTGTAGGCTTTAGCAGTTTGTGAAAACTGGGGCATGGAATTTGCTATCACTGGGCCAATGACGATCCGACCGATTGCAGCGTCTTGGCTCTTTCAACCCAGGTTTTTGACAAGAGAATTTGGGCTCCCCTTTTTCTTCCGGTCGAGGCCAAACCCACTGGAAGATAAGTTGATCAGGTAAAGCAATGGACTTCTACTTTGTTTGCAGTCGCTGTTGCTTCTAGGAAGTTCTGGATGCAAAGATCTGCTGTCGAGGTACGTGTGCAGACTCGGCATCACAGATACAAGCTTGAAAGGCGCAATTACATGCCAAAATTTCAGGCGACAATCCCCGCAAATCAGGCGACAATCCCCGCAAATCAGCCGACAATCCCCGACGTAGCGTTTTGCTGCGTACGCTGAGAAAACATGCTGTGCTTTCAGGGCCGCAGCTCAAAAGCTTTCCATCTTTCAGGATGTGCTTGGGATTAGGCTACCCAATGAGCCCTGAAAACAATATCCTGCGTTGCTTCCTCCGAATCCGTGGCTTGTGGCCTCAAAGTTTTCTGCGCTGCTTGAACGGCTGAATATTATTCTTATTGAGTAGGTGCTCATTTGCTGGAAGCTTCGATTGCATGTCAAGCCTCTACATGGTTCCATCATGTCGAAACAGCAAAGTGATTAGTTTGATAGCTAATCGACCTGCAGCTTCTTGCGCAAAGCCCCTTCGGGCCAATATTCTTCATGCGGGCTGATATTCTAAACTCGGGCTGCTTTTCCGGGCTGAGCGGCTTCAGGCTGTTATTCTAGCCTGAGGCGGATGCAGGTATGGCCACTAGGCTCAGGCACTGCTGCGGTTTCGGGCGCTTACGCTGCCTTGGGGCTTTTCTTTTGGTTTTTCGAAGATGTTCTTTGGCTTTAATCCGAAAGGGGAACAAGGACCTTAGAAGCAAGACCTGTCACAAACGTTTGCAACGCCAAACAGCATCATCAAGTTGGGAGACCCAAACCCACCTGGACCCCTAAACCCTAAAAGCCCCAACCCTATAGACCCTCGAGCCCTAGAAACCCCAGACCCTGAACTAAACCCTGAAAGCTAAAACCCTAAATCCTAGACCCTAAACCCTAACACCCCCCCCCCCCAAAAAAAAAAAAAAAAAAACCTAAAAAAAACCTAAAAGCCTAAACCACATACAACCCCAAAAGCAAAGCCCGAGCTGCGGAAACAAGAGCCGGCTCCCACCATAGCCCTGGAGACCTCCCACTGCAATCAGCGTGCCAATAGCCTGGGAGATGTGGGGCGTTAGGACCTTTGGGGGGGTTTAGGGGGGATTTTGGGGGTTTGGAGGGTGTAGGTAGCCGTTTTATGCTTTCAGGGCTTAGGGCTGAGGCTGTAGGGTTTATGGTGTGGGTTTGCTCATGATCTACGAGGGCATCACACGAAATTGTAGACAGTGGGTTTGATGCAAAGAGAGACTGAGAGGGGTTCGTATGTTCCTAAGAGGGGTTCTTATGGGCTCTTATGGGTTCTTATGGGTTCTTATGAGCTCTTATGGGTTTTGGCGATTTGCGGGGTTTGGAGGGACTCTAGAATTTGGGGATTTTGGGAGGTTGTAGGGATGGGTTTTGAGGGCTCGGAAACGTGGTCAATGTTCCGACGGTGCTGCCGGCGCAAGGGCACAAGCTTCTTTGATATGTTCGTTTCTAGCTTTTTTGGTTCGTATGCGGTTGTGCGGTTTGCTCTTACACCTATTCCTCTGCAAAGCGACGCGAGGCCTCGCATTTCACAAGCCCACGAACTGAAAAGCCCCGAGAGCATGAGAAGCCTCGCATTCGCCGAGCCTGGACGGTCAAGAAATGGTTTCGTGAGAACCAGAAGTCGCCAAAAACGACGAGAGTCTGGCTTTTCAAGAAGCTGAAAAAAAACTATTTGGGAAGTTTTGTTTTTTGGGGCCGGCTTTTTGTTAGGGTTTGGCTCTCAAGATCATCAAGGTCTCGCAGTTGGTAAGCCAGGGAGTCGGAGTGCAACGACCGCATGCAAGGTTTGAATTTCGCGAGCCCATGAACTCAAATTTCCACCAGAGCCTCGTGGTTCGCATGCCGCCGAAGGCCAACGAAAAAACTATGTGAAAGTCTGGCATTGCGCAAACCCAAGCGTTCGATATCGACGAGGGTAGCGTATTTTCCCAAGCCTACATGTTCACCATCCTTTTGGGGTTCCGGGGTTCCTCCCACTCTTTCTGGAGGTTTAGGATGGTTTCTCTGTCCTTTTGTGCTTGCTTGCTTGTTTGCCGGGTTGCTCGCTTGCTGGCCCTGCATGCTTGCTTGCTGCATACAAACCAGACACTGACAAATGACAAAGAAGACATGCGCCACCTCAGCACTGTGTGGCCCGTTAACGCGACTTGCAAGACGTCATCAACCGCAAGCAGTCCGTAGAAAACCGGATCACTTTCGTCAGACTTCGATGACCGGCGGCTGGAAGCGTTGAAGGACTGTTGTGGGTTCCTACATGGGAACACAAAAGCCCTGGAGCAGACAGGCCTGAGCAGTCTGAGCGTGGTCCAGCACACCATGGCAGCCATTGGCTTCTTGCTTCGGCTTCGAAAAGAAAAAAAAGTGTGAATTACAGAGACGGCCCTCAGCCGCACTTGCAAGGAGAATCATGCAATCACATCTTCAGTCCTGGAAGTTTCGCCCCTTGCCCCAACTCCTATAACTCAACCCTGTGCCGGTCTGAGAAAGACCGAGGAGCCAAGATCCAAACAGCCAAGGAGGTCTTGATGGCTCTTCCCAGGTTCAGGTACCTGGGGATCGTTTCGGGCTTCGGAGATGCAGCGTTTTCTTCGGGCGCGTGGGGGCTTTTAAGGGCACTCCTGAGCGACAGAGCTCTGCTAGGCTAAGACTATACACACCTTCATAAGCTCAACCAAACCTAAAACCCCGCTGCAAATGGTGCCTGCGCAATGGGTCTGGAAGGGGCACCCGGCCTTATTTGCTCCTAACCCTAAGCCCCTACACCCTATTCCCCCCTCAACACCGGAAGTGCTGACACCCAAGCCCTCGTCTCGGAGACCCCTCTCCTACACGTCAGAAAATCTTAGGGTGTTACACGGTCTGTCAATGTGGGCCCTTAAATGGTGGACCCCACTACCCCTGGAGCCTACGCAAACCCTAAACCCCAAACCCCAAACCCCAAACCCCAAACCCCAAACCCCAAACCCCAAACCCCAAACCCCAAACCCCAAACCCTACGTTGTCCTAGTGCCTTCCAAGCCGCAGGCAAAGCCCCAGGAACTTGGCCCAACGGCCAGAGCCCCAGGTGTGGCTAATGAAAACATCCACCTGGGACCAGGGTTAGGGGCTTAGGGGCATTTCATTAGGGTTTAGGGTTTAGGGGGTAGGGTTTTAGGTGTGTAGGGTTGAGGGTTCCAGGGGAATAGGGTTTAATGTTAAGGGTGGCTGAATTTCCACCCCCCCCCCCCCCCACGTTTTGCGTCCGGGGGTGGGGTCTGGGGGGGGGGGGGGGGGGTCTGTGGTCCTACAATTGAACTCTTAAAAAATCTACCATAAAATCTTGGATTCTTGGCCAGCCGAACTTTACAATTGCAACCCCTTTCTTTATTTTCACCGGACCCCCGTTGTAAAGATCTGTTTAGATGAGCCCGGAACCGTCTGCGAATGGAAAACTTCTCTTGGACCGGGACCCCCTGGCCGGCCGAAGATGACAATGATCCCCCCAATTGTATTCATGCCACGTTAACAGTAGGGTTTAGGGTTTAGGGTTTAGGGTTTAGGGTTTAGGGCTTAGGGTTTAGGGTTTAGGGGTTAGGGTTTAGGGTTTAGGGCTTAGGGCTCTGCTTCGAAGCTCTTTTGGCTTAGTAAGTCTACTGAGTACCCCCCCCCTCCCAGAAACCCTCTTACCATCCCCAGAACCCGCCTTCCTAACCCTACCAAGCCGAAGGGCTTCCAAGTAGGGGGTTTGGGGGTTTGGGGCTCTAGGGATTTTCGGGGCTGAGGGATTCAGGGAACCCAAACGCCTCAATCAAGGATGATATCCAACGACGCGGACCTCTTACAAAGGTCCCTTTGCTGGGTCGTCCGTAGATGCTTCGGGGGGAAGGTGCACGAGGAGGTGCTAAGACTACTGGTGGAAGAAGATATCCAGAGGCTCATCCCCGCACCCAACCCTCCCAGCCCCGCACCTGCTCCACTTCTGCGGTGGCATCGAAGAGGATTCTGCCTGGCAGGGAACCAGGGGGACCAAGAAAGCGGACTTTTTGGGTTTCGGGTTACCGGTTGAGACGTTCTAAGTGTGGGGTTTCGGAATTCAGAGAGTTGAGGGTTTAGGGTGTTGAGGCGCGAGGTTGCTGTTCAAGCTCTCAACCCCATGCAGCACCTTTTTCTCATGCGACCTTGTCTTGCTGCCTTCATGGCCACCGGGCCCCGGTGAAACTCCTGTCCTGAACATCTAAAAACCCGAAAAAAAACAACAACACGAACCCGAAAAAACCCAAACCCCCAAACCCCCAAACCCAAACCCTAAACCCTAAACCCCAAACCCTAAACCCCAAACCCTGAACCCCAAACCCCTGAACCCCAAACCCTCAACAGCCTCAACCCTGAAAGCCCAAAACCGCCTACGCACACCCGAGTCCCGCAAGATCAAGAAGCCGGTTTAGGGTTCAGGGTTCAGGGTTTAGGGTTTAGGGTTTAGGGCTTATAGGGCTTCCCTCCCCTCCCCCCCCTCCGCAACAAAGTCTGCCTGCTTCTTGCACTTGCTCCCTCGTCGGGATCCGCGCGTAGGCCATGCCGGCCCCGCCCATCACCCCAACCCTTGGCGGGCAACGGGCCGATTGGGATTTACGGTTTGGGGTTTAGGGTTTAGGGTTTAGGGTTTAGGATTTAGGTCTCAGGTTTGAGGCTTAGGCGTCTGCGGAAGTAGGGATCTGGCTGAGGGGCTGGGAGCTTCGGACACACACTAGATACGCATGTATACGGCCCCGGATTGGACGCGTCTTTGGTGAAGCTGTGCAGGTCTGAAGCCTCAACCTCAGATGTCCACAGCCAGTTAATCCTTGAACTCAAAACCCTAAACCAACGCCCTCAGCCTCCAAACCCTAAAATCTAAATAACCCCTAAACCCCTAGAGCCCCTCAACCCCTTGAACCCCTAGAACCCCTAAACCCCCTAGAGCCCTTAAAACCCCTAAAACCCCTAAACCCTAAACCCTAGAACCCCTAAACCCCTAAATACCCTGCCGAACCCGAACGCCGAAGCACATCCCGTGCAGCGCGAGGCTCAATCCGTACTCGAGGATCGCCGCCTGGCCACGAGGGCCGTCACGAGGGTTGAAGCTTTTGGGGGGTTTAGGGTCTCTATAGGGTTTAGGGTTTATAGGGTTTAGGTTTCAAGTGAGGATGAGTTTTTTGATGGGGGGGTTAGGGGTTTAGCAGAGGGACAACACGACATTGTGATTCAAGGCGGGACACAGGGATGATCTGCTAGAAGCTACCTAGCTGTGGGTTCCGTTACTTACGTTTAGATCGAGAGCACATATCGGACCTTAGAAAACCAGGCGGGTTCTGGCAGATGTTCTTTGTGAAGCTCATATATATATATATACAGACCATAAGATAAAAGCCCAGACACCATCTTTGGTCAAGCATGTGAGTCCTCGTGATAGGAATCTGCTTCTAATGGACTCTTACTGTCGTCACTTGATGGCATTTCTGTCGGGCACATGCCAGCAGAAACCGAAACCCTGAACCTCTCAAACAACCCGAGGTTTAGGGTTTAGGGTTTAGGGTTTGGGGTTTGGGGTTTAGGGTTTAGGGTTTAGGGTTTAGGGTTTAGGGTCCAGGTACAGAGGCTCAGGCTGCTTACTTGCTCACATCCAGTTGCGTGCTTCGGAAGTCTTTGCCGACTCTCAGTTTGGGAGCCTGCTGCCTTTCGATTGCGAAGTCCAGGGTTCGAATTTGTCTCTGGCTTACAAAGCATGTCGCTCAACACCCTTGCAGCCTCAGCGTAGCCAGCATGAGGAGCTTGTGATTCCGTGGAGAATCGAACCAAAGTCCCAAACCGTGACTCAAAAACCGCATGGACCTCCTCAAGATCCCCCGGAGCTTGCCTGCCCGGCAAGCAGCTGCGAGGCGGAGACAGCGCGGAAGAGCCCTTGGCCACGGAGGTCCTCGAAGGAATCGGGGCGCCGCAGCCGAGCCATGGCGAGGGGGCTACGAGTCTTCAAGCAGTGGTTTTTTAAGGCTTCGGGGTTCAAGGCGAAAGGTTTAGGGCTTGGGTTTTAGGGCCTTGGAGCTCTGATGAATTTCGGGTGTTTAAATCATCGAGCCACCGCTGACTGGAGTCAGGAATAGCAAGGCACTGCACGAAGCTAACAGTGGCGGCCGCCACGACAGCAGCAAAGATGAGGACGGACAAGGGCTAAAGGTGAATGAGAGCAACGGCGATTCCTGCAACAAACAACACAGCAGAAACCATGTCGTTGCAACATGCGGCTCAACCTCATGTAGGATCTTTCGCCTGTCGCGCGGGATGATTGCACTTGGCGAACCCCGAATTTGCCCAAAGCTCAGAGCCATCGTGAAGCAAACGGCGTTTTCCCCTCTTCTGTTGCAAATTCCTCCGACGTGGACGCAGCCTGAAGTGCAGATGCGACATGTGGGTCAAGAGATACAACATGCCCACGACTGCTCTGCGCTCTTGCACATCCTTTCGCCATCGGGGCGCGGACGGCTACTTGCAGCACCATGCCAGCTTCGCCACCGTGCGCCTCTGGCGCCCGTGGCGCCGCAATTCCTGCAGTAGACTGTGCTACGCAAAACCGAGATACTGTCGAATGCTGTAGAGTGTACCGTGCTCTACTTCACTATGCTTTGCTAATGGAAGCACGCTCAGTTGACTCATTCTTTGCATACTTGTAACTACTTTTGCAGTTGGAAACTGCTTGCTCCATCGATGGGGTGGCCAAAAGTATTGTATTTCCGTGTCACCTTTCAGGTTGTAGGGTTTGCCACCCAACATGTCTTTTCACCATGTCAAGTTGTAAGGTTTAGGGCTTGTCACCCAACATCTCCCTTCAGGGTGTATTGAAAAAACGGGTTCGCCACCCAGCATCTCCTTCTTAGGTTTTAGGGTTTGGCAACCAACCTGTCTTACCACCATGCCACCTTTAGGGTTTGCCACCTGGCATCAAAAGTGCTTAGGGTAAGAGTCTGAAAAGTGCTCGTATGTTACTTTTCGGAAAGACACCCATCGGATAGGGTGCCATCCGAAAAGGCAAAGACCCCTACCCCTGCGTAATCCCCAGGCCTATACACCCCTATCCAGGTTGGTTTGTATGAGAGGTTGGATAGGGACCTATAGAGGGGGCACAGCCCTGGCACTCATCCCTATGCGGGGGACAGACCTATGCCTTTCCGATAGGGGTCTATCTGTCTCCTGTGTTTGGAGGTGCGCCTCACCTCTGTTCCGACGATGCAAGTAAGACATGGCAAGATAAATTTCCGGCGCGAGCTCTTAAAAAAGGAAAACCTGCACAAAAGCGGCTTTTCTTGGCCCTCTTGACATGGCAAGTTAAATTGCATGCGCGAGCACTGCAAAGTGGCGTGTGCTAATTCAAGCGCATTCAGTAGTCCCTCGCTTCAACAACACATCCCGAGACACACACACACACACACACAAAAATAATGAAAAAACACTCACACACAAACACACCGTAACAATGCGTTGTTTTCAGTGGAAGATATGGCAGGGACATTTCCTGCGCGAGACTTCTGGAAGGCAAACCGGCCGTAACAAAGTGGCGCTTTCTTTTCCTGTACGGAATGGCAAGAGAAACATCCGGCACGAGCTCTTCTGGAAGGAAGAACTGCCGTAGCAAAGTGGCAGTTTTCCCCCTCGACGTGACAAGATCAGCTACATGAGCGAACGCTTCTGGAAGGAAGATTCGCAGAAACAAGGTGGCGTTGTTTTCTCTTCCGCTTCTTAAGACGTGGAAGGAAGGATATATTGACTGCGCCATCGCTTCTCGCCGGCAGAGTGGCGTTTCAGATAGGGTTTTGATGGTTGAAAGTGTAAGATCTCTATGCCACTTAGGTTTCGGAGTAAAGCTCTATGGTCTAGGTAAAGCCAACGGCATGCTTCAGGGTTCCATGGCCAAAAGATTGCAGAGTTTCGGGTCGGCCCGAGTTGCGTTCCACTTAACTCTGCTCGACCCGTGATCAGGAGCAGCAAGCAAGTGCACCGCATTGTACTGCAAGGAGTTCGGGGTCGGATTTTAGTATAAACCCTGATTTCGTGGGATGTGGGGTCTATGTTGGTCCGCCGGAGCCGTATCAGGGTAGGATCCTTGCAAGTAGGCTTCAACCTTCAACCCTCCGGCTCACACTCACACCCTAAATGCTGCGGGTTTAGGGTTTGGGGTTTGGGGTTTAGGGTTACCCTGATGCTTCATGTGCCTGCCAGGGTGTTGGGCTTTGAAGCCGACCCCTATTCACCAACCCCTCAATGGAACGAAGGGCACTGTTTCATATACGCACCCCGACACACACAGAGTGTAACAAAGTGTCTTTCCCCAACAGCGAGCACGCTTGGGGTTTGTAATCTGGTAAGCCCGAGGTCGGTGACTAGATTTTTGGGACATGGCTTCGCGGAGTGTTAAGGGACGTGTGCGCGCCGCCACTACTGTAACTTGTTGAGCCTCGGCAATTAACAAGTAGCCTTCGAAAAGGGCACTGAGGAAAGAAAACAGCGGCAGTTTGAGCGCACTACCATGTCGGTGCAAGCAAAATGAGATCCATGTGTGCTGGCCGAAAAGCAGATATCTGTTTGTGCACGTGCAGCACACGACACGCATTAACATGTCTGCGCAAGCAGAATGGGATCCATGTGTGCTGGCCGCAAAAGATATCCGTATGTGCGCGCGCAGCACGCGGTGCGGAAGCAGAGGGCACTGAGGAAGGTAAATAGCGCCAGGCAGTATGCGCGCGCGAACCTGTCTGTGCAAGCAGATTGAGATCCATGACCCATGCGTGCTGGCCGAAAAAGATATCCGTATGTGCGCGCTATGTGCGAACTGCAAGCTTTGGTTCCTTATTTTCAGCCCTTGCTTTTGCCACCGCTGTCTGGTCCACGCGGACAGCCTGCAGACACTCCACTTGGACAGCCCCTGCAGAAACTCCACTCAGACGGCCTGCTGACACTCCACCTGCAGACATTCCACTCGAACAGCCAACAGACACTCCACTCGGACAGCCTGCAGACACTCCACTCGGACAGCCTGCAGAACACTCCACTCGGACGCAGACATTCCACTCTCCGGCCCGAAGACATTTTTTGACACGGTCTTTTCGCATAATAAAAGATAGCTTCTTTTCGCACAAAAAGGAGGGTAGTTCAAGTAACTTGAGATGTTTATCCCATCGCGGGACTAGACATGTTTTAATAGCTCACGCCAAAACAGCTCTGTGTGGGTACCCGGGTATACAGCACGAAAACTGTGGAAAGGGAAAGGAACGCGGTACCCGTCAGTTCCCTACAAAATTGTGGGTATTGACACCGACCAGACATGTTTTAATAGCTCGCGCCAAACAGCTGTTTGTGGTACGAGCTGTACCCGGGTATACAGCACGAAAAGTGTGGAACGGAATAGGAAAGGAACGCGATACCCCTCAGTTCCCTACAAAGCTGGGGGTTTTGACACCGACCCAAGCGGAAAAGGAACGCAAAGGAACCCTCCAAGTGGAAATCCCCATGGTGGGGAAGGCGTTCCTTTTTCCCCGCTGCGGGAGTATAGTATTCTTATTCTCCCACAGCAGGGAGAAAGGAACGTCCAAAATTGGACTAAATGCCGCGAAACATCTTCGGCTACTAGTGGTCTCCAGTTCTTCTTGCTGTCTTACATATCAAGCTTAGAAAGAAGTACTGCTTTTTTCGTTCACTTCGTCTTCATTTCGTTGCCATGATTGCGCCCGAAAGATGTCGAGTACGTTGAGTACATTTCGTCTTCATTTCGTTGGCAAACTGTGCAGACGGATGAAAACCATCGAAGTTGAAACGAAACTAAGATGGAATTAAACATAAAAATTGAAACGACACTCAGACGGAATTAAACCATCGAAATTGAAACGAAATTAAAACGGATTCAAACCATCGAAATTGACACGAAATTAAGACGGAAGTAAACCATGGAAGTTGAAACGAAATTAAGCGGAAATTCACCATCGAAATTAAAACGAAGCTAAGACGGCATTAAGCCATCGAAATTGAAACGAAACTAGGACGGAATTACACCATCGAAATTGAAACAAAATGAAGACGGAACTAAACCATAGAAATTGAAACGCAATGAATTACAATTCTAGGGTTTTCCACAACTCTTAAGGGGCTCAAGACCCTGAATTGCAACTCAATTCTGAGGTTTTTCACAACTCTTACGGGGCTCAACTCGAGGGTTTCGAGTTAAGACGGAATCCGCCGAAGCCTCGGGCCGTAGGTGTATGGGGAGCACAAAGCAGGCACCCCACCTCTAATCCCCCCCAACACGCTGGCACCCCCCTCCCCCCTTCCGGGAAGCACAAAGCAGGCACCCCACCTCTAGCCCCCTACCCAGCCCCTCGCGCCGGTGCAGCTGCAGAGCTTCAGATTCAGGGCGCCGTGGTTGCGGACTCCACATGCTCAAGGGGCTGCGCCAGGCCGAGGCGGGTCGCGCAGCGTTAAAATTAAACCATCGAAATTGAAACGAAATTAAGACGGAATTAGACCTTCGAAATTGAAACAAAATGAAGACGGAATTACACCATCGAAATTGAAACGAGACTTCGACAGCATACCGGCTCTCCCGCTTCAACGCCAGGCAGTTTGAGCGCACGTACGTGGCTTAACGTCAGCGCGAACGAAGCATTTTGATATGAACAATAACGCGCGATGCCTGCGCGAACAGAATGAGATCCACGTGCCCGCGCAAAAATCGTAGCAGTTGAATCACAAGACCGCGATGGACGGCCGAGGCTGTATCGCCGGCGGAATCCTTGCGCACAAAAAGATATCCGTATGTGCGCACGCAGCAAGTTTTGGTCCTACAACGCCACCGCTTTCTTGCCGTAAAGATGTGCGTGTCCAACACCTGGACATTGCTTCAATTCTTGCGAGGTTTCCTTTTCCGTTTTCGCTTGCAAAAACGACTACACGCGGCTGATGATATCT